TGTAATTCAGCGCTGTGGTATTACCACAATTACTCCTTCTCGAAGTTCCCATTTTGTACGAGGACCCTTGGGTGGATAATAAACAGTGCGCCACCTTCCGTCCATTGATCATTACTCTTTTTAAGGATCTCGTATCAGCGATACGTAAAGTGATAACTTAAAGGCATCATAATGAGGGATAAGACAAACCGTCGGCATCCCCCAGAACTATATCGAGTGAGTTGATACCTTCGAAGTCGTCATACCGTTCTATGAGCCGATGTTCCGTTTTTGTCTGTGTGGTTTCCCGTCTAGGCGAAAGCCTCTGACGTGAATTGATCACTGGACTCGTCCGGCCTCCGACGATCAATGTTTATCGTTGCGCGCTGGGGAGGTGGCTTCTCAGCGGCCCGTGGGGGTTGTTCTCTGTCCGTCGTGCAAAGTTGATTTTCCTTTGTCACTAAGTACACTCTCCTCGGGTATCCCTGAGTTCTCAGCATCCTGACCACCTCTTGCCGTAGGCCTATGCAGTCTTTGGTTTTGTGTCCCCGTTCCTGATGGAACTCATATAGGGCGTTTGATTTCCTTGTGGAAGGGTCTGATTTCATCTTCTGCGGCCACTGCACCTTGGTGCCCAGCTTCTCTAGTGCATACACTATTTCTGAAGGAGATACACAAAAGTTATGGGCGGTTAATAAAGGGGCGTACCTCTTTCGTTTCGGAGTGGGGCGACGTGTCGCTGTAGCGCGTCTGTATGCCTTGGTGGCGGATGGGAGGATCTGGTGTATGGCTGATGTCGATCCCTGTTGGAGCGGGGGAGTTGTTCTCGTCGTCCTTCGTTCCGTCGATCTCTCCTCGTTTCTGAGTGTATCGCTGTTAGTCGTTGGGTCGGCCCATTAAGATCGTCCTCGTCCGCTCGTACCTCGGCGCAATAGGCGTTGTGGATTTCCTCCCATGTGGTAGGGGGATATTTCATGAGGCGGCTCAGCAGCTTCTTGGTTGCCTTCGAACCATCCCTGCTCAGCCCGTTCTGGAAAGCGGCGACTGCCATACCTTCCGATACGTTTGGTAGACTCATCCTTACCCTGTTAAACCTTGCCAGGAAGTCCCTGAGTCCCTCTCCTGTGGTTTGCCTGACGGCGAAGATGTCGTTGACCCTGGCCTCCGCTTTCTTCGCGCCTGCATGGGCTGTGACGAACTTATCCGCCATTTCCTCGAACGTTGATATTGCCTTAGCCGGTAGCTGAGAGTACCATGTTAGGGCCCCTCCTGTCAACGTCTCGCCAAACTTCTTCAGCAGTACCGATGGTACCTGTTCTTTCGATAGGTCGTTGCCCTTCACAGCGGTGACGTAGTGGATCAGATGATCCTCGGGATCTGTGGTTCCGCCATATACCCTCAAGTATGGTGGCATCTTGAAGGTTTTTGGGGTGGAGTGAGGGGCAGCTTCTTCAGCGTATGGTTGTTCAACGAACCTTCCCACGTCGTGCTTCGGTAGCAACTTGGGAGCACCGGGGATCTTGTCGACCCTCTCCTGATGTTCCTTCATCTGACTGCAGAGCGCCTTGTTTTCATTTTCCATTTCTTCCATCTTCTTTAGGATAGCTGTTAGCGTGCTATCGTTGGTCTGTGTCTCGATGAGTTTGTCATTAGCTAGTGCAACTTCCGGTTCACCCATGGCAGCAGTGATACCTACCGTTGGTGTACACCCGATGTTACTTTGCGGTGACCTCTCAACCAAGCCGCTTAGAGTGCTTGTTAGCCATCTTTCCAGTAGCTCCTTGACCGCTGAGGGTGCTTCTGTAGCCGCAGATGTGGAAGCTCCTTTTTCGTGCAAGATCGTCAGACCTTCGGATGGGGAAGGTGAGATCTCTGCACCCGGTGTGATGCTAGGGGTTGCATTCGGGATGCCATCGTCACTGGCCTCGTTGAGAGGGCCAAGGAGATTAGTAGTGACACCCAATATCGCTTTCGATCTTGTGTTATTTTCGGCCATTTTCTGTTTCTGTGTGGTGTAGAGAGTGGTAGTTGGTTGATCTCTAGGTGGATACTATGGTTTTGATTCTCGAAATTCCCACAGACGGCGCCAAATTGTTTGGCTCAAAAGTTAACAATATACTAGCTAGAAAACAATCAAAAGTAAGAAAAGGGTAAATCGTAATCAAATATAATAAACCTAGAGATGCAAAGATGATGTTATTGTGGTAGATCTAGTATTGCAAAGTGATAATATGAACTCAGTAAGATATGTTCGTTTGAGGTAGAGATAGAGAGAGAAAGCTAGAAAATGAGAGAGTTGTATTAGATCTGAATCCCCCCCTTTACAATGTGAAGGTCTCCTTTATATAGTAAGAGACCTTCCTCGAAAGAATCAAAAAGTTACAAAGACAGGTAACGTCTCCGTAGTGAAGACACTGAGTCCTAAACGATGTCGCTTTTGTCCCCACGTTCGAGTCGTACCCGCTACGTTAGTCGTCGTACACTCACTGGGCGCACCCACTGGCATAGAGATGCTGAGGGTCAAATTTGACCCTATACATCAGTAATACGTATATATTTGGAATATCATTTTGACAAATGAAATCAAGATGTCATATTCTAATAAAAGTTTTTTATGAACTTATCTCAAGATAACAAATACAATGTTATTAGTCAAAACAGCTCAGACCCACCAAAACCAAAAAGAGAATTGGAAAAGCGAACCACCTTTAAAATGAAGTTGACAGTTAGTATTCTCTAACCCTAATTATTACATAGTTGAATTGTACCAAGCTTTTAATAAGAAGGAATTAATTAACGCACTAAAACGCCATCAGAATTTAATATAAGCCACTGCTACCTCAATAGTTTAAAAAAGAAAATAAATGTAACAGTGGAATTGCTGTAATCGCCGCCTGAATGTTCCTAGGAGCTTCTTGTCTATGCAACAATATAATCCTGATCGATCAGATTCCAAAAGAAAGCTCAACATAAGTTCCAGGAACTGCAAACGAAATGAGCTAACCCACGTGATTCCTCCTTTATATTACTACTACTCCACCACTTTGCTTGGATCTATAGCTAGCCCACACTACTCCAAAGTCCCAAATCCATACATAATTATATATTTAAAAAAGAAAAAGAATTAACAGGTATGAATATTACTTCTTGTTAATTATGCTCATTAATGCATGAGCATATAGGGAGCTACTACACTCGTTACGTACTTTGTATTACTCCCCGTGCACTTTAATTGATCTTTTGGTTATTTTGACACATATTAAGAGCCCGTTTGGACATAGAATTTTTTTTCACTATTTTTTTCAAAAAAATTTCATAAAATTTCCAATTTTCACTTGAAGATGAATTTTAAAATTTTTCGAAAATTTGAATAACTCCAAAAAGTTATTTTTTAATAATTTCACTCAGATCATTCACAAAATTTCAAAAACAACCCAAAGTTATATTCATGTCCAAATACAACTCTAATTTTCAAATACAATTTTCACTTGATTTTTTTTTTTTTTTGCTTTTTTATTGTTGAAATTTTACAATTCTTGTGTCCAAACGCCCATTAAGTAATCCATCCTTTAGCATTAATTAACAATGAAATTGACCATATTAACTTTAATATGGTCATTGAAAATATAACAAATACTCCTAGGCTCTTTACTCCAAGGACAACATTGGTAAAAAGAAGTTAATTCCTTCTTGAATATCTGAAAAAATCAAATATTACTGACCAAAAAGAAAACCAAAAAATCAATTAAAGTGAGACGGAGGGAGTAACAAGTAGTAACCCAAAGCAACCATATAAATTATCTCTCCGCTTCATTTATGTACGTACGTTATTAGTTCAAGTACAATTCCTGTCTCAATTTATGTGATATTTTTTGTTTATCGAGAGTCAGTTTAACTAATCTTTAAAATTAAATTGGATTAGATCAATTCTATATTTTAAAATTAAAATTAAATATTCAAAAACTATACTAAAAGTACTATAATTTGTAATTCTTCACATTTCAATATAATGAAAAGAATATCTTTTAAAATATTGATCGAAGTTTATATAGTTTGAAATTCTTGAGAAGCTAGAAATGCCACGTAAATTGTGAAAGATGGAATAATATTTATCAATTAGCAAGGACATATGGTTGAGCATATAAAAAAATAAACTTACCAAGGAAAAAAAATAAAACCGATCGTTCATGATTAATGAAGCCACGAGAAAGGAATTAGACTTTTTCTTTGAGTTTTGATTAATTGAGATGCTTGTTTTTATGAGTTTTTAATTAAATAAAATGCTACTATTTACTCATTATTTGCTCAATAAGTTTCAATACAGAGTATTCTTTTTTTATTAGCTTATATATCCTCTTTCTAATTAATGGGCTAATTCAAACATGGTAATCTTTTGATCTATTATTTATGATTTTTCTGAAGAAACGTAAAGTATTTTTATTATATATCCTTATATATATAGTAATATGAATCATTTTGTTTGGATGATGCATGCATGTATTCAACAAGAGCAATACTTTTTGTTTCTCCTGCCTTGTATTATACTTGCATAATACATGCAGAAAAACACAGCATTTAAGTGTCTGTTTTCCTGTAAGATATTGATTTATATTTTATATAAATAAAATTATAACGAAAACTATATAGTGGGCTATCGTAATCGGGGTCCAACAATTTTACCAGAAATGAGCAGCGTGGTTGGGCAATTCACACCACAGTCCAAAACCAAACCCCCACCCCCCTATAGCTGTACCCCAGCTGAGGTGGCTATTGCTAGGGCCCACTTGCACCCCTAAATGAGGGGTTATGTAGACGTGCTTGGGCCCCACATTGTCCCCTCTTTCACCAAACACGTAGATATTACAAAATTGTCCACGGCCCCTCCGTCGACTTCCTTCCAACCTTCCAACCTTCTTTTTGTCTTTGCCGCCCTTTTGGGTCCCACTATGACATGGCACGTGACGTGTCAGCCCCACTCTTCCTCTCCTCCTATTTAAGCACCCTCTTACTCCATATTTCGCACCACCATTTCCCTTCCGCCTTCTAATTCCATACAAACTCAAGTAATTTACAAACTCTTTCTCTTTTCTCTCAACAGTCAATATTTTATAAGCTTTGATAAATTACCTAAATATGGCTGTTGATTCGGTACTATCATCACCATTGGGTCCTCCTGCATGTGAGAAAGACGCAAAGGCACTTCAATTCATCGAAGAGATGACTAGAAATGCTGATGCCGTCCAAGAAAGAGTCTTGAATGAGATTTTGACTCGAAACTCACAAACTGAGTACCTTAAGCGCTTTAAACTTGATGGCGTCAGTGACCGTGAAACCTTTAAAACCAAAATTCCGGTTGTAACTTACGAAGATCTTCAGCCCGAGATCCAACGGATTGCTAACGGCGACCGTTCTCCTATCCTATCAGCTCATCCCATCTCTGAATTCCTCACTAGGTAAGCCGTTAGCATAACATATTATTATATCTATTCAATTGTACGTGACACTATTATTATTTGAAGAGTAAAAAAAAATTCTTTAATATTTTTTTGAGTATTGTAATTTATTACTTATTGTGTAGTTTATACTTAATTGTATAAAATGGAACGGAGGAGTACCTAGTTTGCTAGCTCTTTTTAATTACTAGATGCAAGCCTTTAATTGTTATACCTAAGTTATTGATATATTTTTTTTTTATGTTAACAGCTCTGGAACGTCAGCTGGCGAAAGGAAACTTATGCCAACAATTAAAGAAGAGTTGGATCGTCGCCAGCTACTTTACAGTCTTCTTATGCCTGTTATGAACCTGTAAGTATACACAAATTAAATATGCAAAACCAACTATAGTTACGTTACCTATTTTGGTATTCGAATTATTTGGCGAATTAAAAAAAGCATCTTTCTTACGAAGCTTCATTAATGTGACAGGTACGTACCTGGGTTAGACAAAGGCAAAGGACTATACTTTTTATTTATCAAGTCCGAGACGAAAACGCCGGGTGGGCTATTAGCAAGACCAGTACTCACAAGCTATTACAAAAGTGAACATTTCAAAAGAAGACCTCATGATCCGTACAATGTTTACACCAGCCCAAATGAGGCCATCCTTTGTGCAGACTCCTTTCAGAGTATGTACACTCAAATGCTCTGCGGTCTCTACGAGCGCGAGCAAGTTCTTCGCCTTGGTGCGGTCTTTGCCTCGGGCCTCGTCCGAGCCATTCGGTTCTTGCAACTCCATTGGCCACAACTCGCTCATGACATTCGAACCGGGACTCTGAACCACGAAATTACCGACCCCTCAATTTGTGAACGCATGGGTCTGGTTATGAGACCAAATTCAAAGCTAGCCGATTTTATTGCCGATGAATGTTCTAAGGAAAATTGGGAAGGAATTATCACGAGAATTTGGCCCAAGACAAAGTACCTTGACGTAATTGTCACGGGTGCTATGGCTCAATATATTCCTACTCTGGATTATTACAGTGGTGGATTACCAAAGGCGTGTACTATGTACGCAGCTTCCGAGTGTTACTTTGGACTCAATTTAAATCCAATGTGTAAACCCTCGGAAGTTTCGTACACTATTATGCCAAACATGGGTTATTTTGAATTCTTACCACATGATCCTAACTCATCTCGTGACTCAATTCGTAATCTTGTTGACCTTGTTGACGTTAAAGTTGGAAAAGAGTATGAACTCGTCATCACGACCTATGCGGGATTATACCGTTACAGAGTCGGTGATATACTTCGTGTCACTGGGTTTCATAACTCAGCGCCACAGTTCCATTTCGTGAGGAGGAAAAATGTTCTATTGAGCATTGATTCGGACAAGACGGACGAGGCCGAATTACAGAGAGCAGTGGAAAATGCTTCAAAACTTCTTAAGGAATTCAACACTAGCGTGGTGGAGTACACAAGTTATGCAGATACGAAAACAATTCCCGGTCATTACGTGATTTATTGGGAGTTATTAATGAAGGATTTAAACAATTCTCCTAGTGATGAAGTATTGAACAAGTGTTGTTTGGCCATGGAAGAGTCACTAAACACAGTGTACAGACAAGGCCGAGTTGCTTGCAATTCAATTGGTCCATTGGAAATTAGAGTGGTGAAAAATGGCACATTTGAAGAATTAATGGATTATGCAATTTCAAGGGGTGCTTCAATTAACCAATATAAGGTGCCAAGATGTGTTAGTTTTGCACCTATTTTGGAACTTCTTGACTCAAGAGTAATGTCAAGACACTTTAGCCCATCGTTGCCTCAATGGACACCTGAACGGCGTCGTTGAGGAGAGAACTGTTTATTAATTACACATGCATGACTGACATGGGAGAGTCAATGAAGGATTCCCTAAACCTTTTTTTTTTTTTTTTTGTCTTTTGTTTTTAATTTTCTTGTCTTACTTTGTGACTAGAACGGTCCTGATTGTAACTAGACATGGACGTTTGGCAGAATTAGGTTTGTACGTTATGGCTCAATTAACTTGTGAAAATGATGTAATATCCCAAGCTTGTTAAATGAGCTGTTTCTTCCGTCCAAGTTTTAACTCATCTACGTCAGGAAGGATTGAAATACTCCGAATAATAATTTAGGCACAAGCAACAAATTTAACAAAGATTATATAGCAGCAATTTATTAAATTAGGGAGAGAACTTGGTAGGAGGCTTTTTCACAACTCATAAACTCTTCAATCTCTCTGCATCGTAACTACCTCTCCACAATAGAAAATATGTAATAGCACCCCTATTTATAATACTACAAAACCAAATTTGACTAGAATCTAGAAAACCTATTCCTACATGATTTTGGTTGTGAATCCTAATTAGACATAAATTAAATAAACTAGTAAATACCAAATCCTAGACGACGTAGGAATACTAATTAATCTTGGTTTAATTTCCAACACAACAGACTATTTTTTACTTACTTTAAACAAATACATGATTCAAAGTAAGAGGGTCTATAAATATATTCTTTTGGCGAATTCGGAGGCTATGTAATTTAAGAATTATAGAAAGAAATCATAAATCACAGTTTTTATCGTTAAAAACATTTCATACATATTCCAGATAATTTTTAAGTTATATACACTAGCATTTTAAATAATTTTTACAGTATTAGTGTACCTTAACCCGTTATAGCAAGCTATTTACATTCTTTTTAAGATTATTAGATCATGTTTCTTATAAATTTTTACATATAGTGTTATTGCACGTAACTTAATCGATGACTTAAATATATATTATGTTGTGTTGAAGCGTAGAAGTAAAACTCTTTCAAATAAATGCGGGCAAAAAAAAAAAAGGTGGTTTGTTTACCAAATATTGATAATGGCACACAAAAGAAAACGAGAGGGATTATTTAGCTCCATGTTTTAAAATATTATCTGTTCAAGATGAACATGACCCGTCCACGGAAAGTGGAAGGTCTTTATCACTATCTGCAGAAGTTCGTCATTTTTTAGTTGAATTATTGAACTCTATTTTACAAGTATCTGTTATACATATAATTCAAGTCTAGATCTGTCTAGCCTTAGATACTCTTGCCAGGCTTTTAGGAATCTAACGTTTTAATAAGTTGCAGTTTTGGCTTTTCAATATGCGAAGTTGAGTCTTTTTTTCTCTATTATTTTTGGTCTTTTGAGCTTAATTGCCTCTGAGTAATATGTTTAATGGAGTTGAGAAAAAGGAAACATTTCTTAAAATTCTGCTGTCTGCAGCCTGTTTGGCCCGAGACAGAAATTCATGGATGAAAAATTATTAGTTAGTTTATGGTCGGCAATTTAACATGGTTTGCCAACTTAGAGCAATAAATGAGAAAACATAAAAAATGGAACGATGAATAAACTTCAATTGATCTGTATAGTATAAACTATAACCTTACAAACTAGTCTGTTAAGTTTTTAAAGGTGGACATATTAATCCTTCATGCCTTGATTAGTGTAAGTGCCTATAGTTTCTCTTTCTCATAAAATTTTTAGTTCATCTTTATTTGCTGGATATAAATTAAAGACATTAGAATTAAGTAGAACGATCAGAAGTCATTAAATTTAAGAAATGACTTCTAATAAAAAAGAAGAAAACAAGATTATCCGATAATACAAAAGAACAACAACATACCCAATATTATCCCACACCGTGGGGTCTGTGGAAGGTAGTGTGTACGCAGACCTTACCCCTGTATAGGTCAAAATCTAATCAAAGGAATTCTGTTTAAGGAAAGACCACCATGATCTCAACCAAGCCGAAGTTACGTACAGGAAGATCCATATCAGCGAACGACTCAGCTACAGCCGAGGTTGAGGTCGAGCACACAGTTCGACCCGAACGGCTAGTTCGACACTTACATTTCAAGGGAATATTCTAAAAAATATTCCAAGAACTTAGGTACTCCGGTTAAGGACTGCTAGGTAAGGGAAGTGTTTTGTATAAATATCAGAAGAGAAAATAGGAAAAGGGGCTCTGACGGAAACAGAGAGATACACGTACATCTCTCTGAAAGAGGGTAGGGTTTTTCTCCCCAAATTAACTCTTCGCCAAAAGGAGGATAAATCTCAAGATCTTGGCATTGTATCTGTATTTCAACTTTCTCGAATCTATGGTTGCCTATCTAGTTCAAGAATGGTGATTGTTTTTCCTTTGTGTACTTGTCATTATCATTTGATATTATTGAAGCCATCTTCCTTTTCTTATATTATTGAATCATTCGAGACCGTAATCGAACTTTACGTCCAACCATACTTGTTTATTCTTGTCTTCCATCTCAGATTTAGAGTAAATTATCTCTAGCTAGAATTCATCCCATATCTATCTATTAAATTGATTCAACAAAAAGGACTTAAAATTTTTTGGTCAAACAACCCCTACCTTGTGAGGATAGAGTGGCTGTTTCCAATAGACCCTTTGCTCAGGATAGCATAAGCACCACATTAATGAAAATATAGACAAGAAGGGACAGTACCAAAAAGCCATATAAAAGCAAAATAAAAACAACAAGACAATAAGGTGATCAACAATGAAAGAAAACAACGGTTAGTCATAAAAACCTAGTGAGACAGCGTGCCAATACTACTGTTATGAACACTCTAGACTACCTACTCTACTACCCTAATCCTCGACCTCCATACCTTCTTATCAAGGGTTATGTCCTCGGTCAGCTGAAGTACAAAGAACATAACAAAAAATGTATAGGGAAAACACAAGAAGAACTGTGGCAAATTTGGTAAGAGTACGTAATTCAACGAGATAGATTTATATTCTTTTAATTAACGTATGACGAGTATTATTCTGCTATATTTTAGACTATTATATATTCGTAATGAACTGAAGAGCACGGCCCATCCATATGGAAAGTGACACGAAAACTTCATAATTTTCTGTTGCATTATTGAACTCTGGTGTATACCAGTAAACTATAATTTGAATATGCTTATCCTAATTAGATATTTTTGCCATACTTTTAGGTCTCTATAATTTTTTGAATATCGGTTTTCCTTTAAATATTAGAAAGTTCATCAGTCCTTTTCTCTATATTTTTAAGGCTTTTCTGGTTTTAATTGCCTATAATGATTGCTTTCTAAAGGACTCGAAAAAACAAAATGAGTTTCAAAATTCTTCTGTCTGTGGCCTGCTTATTGACCTGAGACAGGAATTCAATGGGAAATTTATGGAATTTATAAAAAGAAAATCGTTTAGTTTGGTCAACTGTCTAATATGGTTTGCCAACTCAGAGCAATTAATTTTGAAACATAAAATAAGGTTAGGGCCATGCTGATTATACATTTATTAATTGGAGCCATGCTATAAGAAATTCATTGTCAGAAATCTAAATTTCTTTAACCATTCAGCAGCCCAATGAAGCATAGCCAGATGGAACTTCCTTGTACAATTACCTTTGAGTCCTTAACTTGTGAGCATAGTTACACTTGTGTCCAAAAAACTTAGGATTCATATTTCAGTTATGAACTCGCTTGAGACTCACAACTGTGAAGTATTCAAATTATATAAACCAGGCATGTGAAGTTTTAAAATCGGACATATTAATCCGTGATGCCTAGAGGAATGTGGATTCAAAATTTCAATTTAGACCCTGTCACTACCCAAGTTCTCCCTCCGTAAACTGTCGTTACGGCACTAGTCTCTACGACTAGGTAAGCCTATCATTTGCGGAAAAGGAACGAAAACATAAAAGCTATCAACTAACAGGTAAATTTAAAAAATGAGATGCCGCTCGGCATATACAATAATCACTCTCGAAAAGTACATAAACTCTTTCACAACCCGGAATATCATAAATCACAAGCTAAAGAAAGAAACATTATTCCCATACTTCAGAGTCTAATAAAAGAAGAAAATACAAGAAGTGTTTGACTTGGGGTGGAATAGAAAGGGACTTCGAGGTCTGCAGACACGCCAGATATACCTTGAAGTCTCTACAGCTGGCTCGCCTCATTGGTAATATGGTTGATAAGCGGTACCTAGATCTGCACACGAAAAACATGTGTAGGAAAGGGCATGAGTACACCACAACAGTACCCAGTAAGTGCCAAGCCTAGCCTCGGTCGAGTAGTGACGAGATCAGGTCAGGGCCCTACTGATTTAAATATAATGAAATAAGCTAGAAAGAAATAGTACAATGAAATAAATACGGAAATCTAAGAGGAATAGAATTCAATAAAAGCCAATAGCTCAGAACACAGTAATAGCAACAGGGGATCCCCAGGATACCGTCTCGTAGTACCAAACGTAAATGTGCAGGGGGATCTCCCGGGATACCTTTCCGTAGTCCCAAAGTAAATATGCAGTGGTGGGGGGATCTCGCGGAATACCGTTCCGTAGTCCCAAAGTAAATATGCATTACAGGGGAATCTCTCGGAATACAGTTCCGTAGTCCTAAAGTAAATATGCAACTCTACAAATATAAATAATAGTCACAGCAAGAAAATCTATAGTTTGAATTAAGTTCAAATCAAGAAAACCAGGTAATTTCACTAGCACATGTTGCACAGAGTTCAAATAGGCAGTTAATACACGTAGGCATGCTTCTCTAATCTAAACAGGATAGTACATATGCTAATGTAATTCAAACAAGGAGAAAAACAGGTTATGACCTAGTGAAAATGGAGTTTACAACAAATAGCCAGTGTACGTACTCGTCACCTCATGTACACGGCGCTCATATATCAAACAGTACCAAATCTTAAGGGGAGTTCCCCCACACAATGTTAGGCAAGCCACTTACCTCGAACCAAGCTTAAATCACTCCGTAATAATGCTCTTTCCCACGATTATCCGGCTCCGGATGGCCAAATCTAGCCAAAACCAATTACATAACATAAATATAGCTACAAGAAACTAATCTAGCTAACGAAATCAAAGCTAAGGCAAGAAAATAGAAAAACGTCCAAAAAGCCTCTCCGGGCCCACGTCTCATAATCGGGTAAAAGTCACAAATTATGAACACCCATTCACTCATGAGTTCACTCGTACCAAAATTATCCAAATGTAATGTCAAAATCCCACTCAAAACTCAGGAATTCG